TTGATCTAGCCTCTCTCTAAGTTTAGACACTGAATCTCTTACTATTCTGGAATGGTCTGCATAAAAGCAGCATTCTTCTTTCAGGGCTGCACACAATCCTCCTTCTTTTAAGAACAGTAGATCTAGTCCTCGCCTATTCTGTAGCACTACTTCAGAAAGGGAAGTTAGGGACTCTTCAAGTTTAGTGATGGATTGTTCTATGGTCCTTAAATCTTCATCAATAGCTGTTCTCAGTCCCTCATAATTTTGCTTTCCTTGAATAATGGTGGCTGCCTCTGTTCCTACTCCTGTTGCAACTCCCATTCCTAATAATATGGCTGGAGTCAATGAGACGGACTCTCTTCTATATCTATGTCTGGGTTCAAATTCTGTTACAAATGAGAAATCATCATGATACATCAGTCTAGGCACTAGTTGGACCATAATACAGAAATCGCGAGAGGAATTGAAGGCTGAGGTGGAGACACACGGGGTCAGTCCAGTATTACAAGCCCACCATCCCTCGGGAGGAGGGACTAGATATCTGTTTTCATCTGAGGAGGCTATGGATATGGTTTCATTACACAGATTCTTATGAGTTGAGGGGACCGTTCCTAGGCACTTCCCTTTCCCAGTCACTTCAGTCAGGGTCAGCTTCTTGTGGCTGCCCCAGCTACAGATTTCGTGGCTGGTTGTATTGTTAAAACTGCCCAACAGCCCCAACCCTTCATAATAAGGAGGTCCAGAGGCAAAACATAACCAACAGGATTAGGTAGTATTAGGGTTGGTGGTGTTTAGAACCCAGAAAGCCCCCTCGATGAGGTTGAGGAGGCATTGTCCGGTGCCAGAAAAAGGGGTTACTTGGTCAGGAGTGGGGGTGGAGGAAGTGGTGGCAGAGCCCACTGGTGGAACTAGGGCCTGCTTTGGGGCTGGGGTTGGGAGACACGGCTGATCTCGTAGGACAGTATTGGGTCCTACTGGGGCAGCCGGAAGGGTCTCAACTTTAAGTCTGATAGTAAATATGAGGCCTTTGTCATATCCAGATTTATAGTATCTGAGCCCCCACTGTCGTCCAGTGGCCCACCCATCATACTGGCACCCTTTATCACTGAACGTGATATTTAAGGGGTTGCATAGCCTTGTCTGCTCACAGTTAGGGGATGTGTGGTTCTGGACTACTTTAAGGAGGTCCCAACTGGACACGGGGTTCCAATAAGCATTACCTGTAGTCTCACAGCCACAAGAGCTACAATAAAAAGATTCTAAGCCCCCACACTGTCAGGCTCGTTGGTGGGTTCATCCGTCACGGGGGCAGACATAGAAAGTAATGGTTTTTATCCTATTGCAGGCTCGGGAATAACTACACCCACTATCTCCATAGGAAACCTGGCTCTGGGCTGCAGAATAATCATGGTCTGGTGGTCGAATTAGGTGGGTCTGTCTCCAGGGTATATTAGGTATGTCCCAGGTATCTAATCCAGCAGCTAGGGCACAAACATCGGGGTGCAGGATGGCCAGGTTTTAAGGGGGGCAGCCTTAGAAACAGACCACACTGCCTGTCCTGTCTGAGAGTAAACCTGCCATGTCAGCAACCTGGGTTCATGGGGGTTGGGGTTCTGGAGGGTTGGAAGTAGCAGGGGCATCAGAATCACTAATAACATGGTTCTTTTTACACAAACGAAGCTTAAGTGGGTTATCAGTCCGAGTTACTTGCCAGTCCGGGTCCGGCGGGGGTGCTTTCTTCAGATGTGTAGCGTGTACCCAGGAGGAGATGCCATCCACTTTCACGGCTGTGGGAGTAGTCAAGAGGACGATGAAGGGGCCTTTCCACTGAGGCTCAAGGTTTCCCGTTCGGTGTCGTCTCACGTAGACAGGGTCTCCCACCTGGAACTGATGAGGTACTGAGAAGTCCTCTGGCCGATAGGCTTCCCTGATGGAGGCCCACACTTCTTTCTGTACGACTTCCAAGGCCCGTAACCTTTCAAGCAGAAACTTATTAGTTGCACATTCGGGGGATGTATGAAGATGAGCCGATTGGAGTGGAGCCGGAGCCCCAAACATTATCTCAAAGGGCATTAGTTCAAAGCGGCCAGGGGTGTTCCTGACCCTAAATAAGGCAGAGGGAAGGAGGACTAACCAATCATATAAACCAGTCTCTATGGATAATTTAGTCAAGGTCTCTTTTAAAGTTCTGTTCATCCTTTCTACCTGTCCTGAGCTCTGGGGCCTGTATGCACAATGCAATTTCCAATCTGTCCCCAGGATCTTGGCCAATCCCTGACTCACCTGGGCAATGAAGGCAGGACCATTATAGGAGCCGATTACCTTTGGGATTCCGAACCTTGGAAATATCTCTTCAAGTATCTTCTTGGACACCGTCTGAGCTGTCTTGGTCTTGGTAGGGAAAGCTTCTGTCCATCCTGAAAAGGTATCTAAAAAGACTAGGAGGTACTTAATTCCATACTTAGCAGGCTTAATTTCAGTGAAGTCAGCTTCCCAGTAAGCTCCTGGTCGATCCCCGTGAAGCCTTTTTCCGTATATTACTTGATGTTTGTTCACATTTACCAACTGGCAAGGAACGCAATTTTTCACCACCTCGTCTGCCATTTCTCCCAAGCCAATGATGTGATAAGGGGAGTTTTGAACCAGGGCTTTTAGGTTCTTGGCCCCCAAATGTGTCAACTGATGTAGTTGCCTTAAGTATTTTCCTGCCTCTTTCTGGGGCAGAATATTCTTCTCATTTCCTGACTCATATGTTCCAAGGGGCGAGGATTTTTGGAACCCCAGCTTGTCCATCTGAACGAAGTCCTCGGGTGTATACTGGAAGCTTTTAGCACATGTGTCTTCTGGGTATACCCGGAGGGGTAAAATGTTCATTCCCTGGGCTGCTTGTTTTGCGGCTTGGTCTGCTCTCCGGTTCCCTCGAGCTATCAGAGATTCATCTTTCTGATGTCCAGGGCAATGTATTATTGCTACCTCCCTGGGTCTATGGATGGCTTCTAATAAATCTAAAATTTCCTGTTTGTTTTTGATATCTTTCCCAGCAGAAGTCAACAGCCCTCTCTGTCTGTAGATAGTCCCATGTATATGAGCGGTGGCAAAAGCGTATTGGCTGTCAGTGTGGACATTGAGTCTCTTACCTTCAGCCATCCGTAGAGCCTGGGTCAGGGCGACGAGTTCTGCTTGCTGTGCGGAAGTGCCCGCTGGAAGTCCACTGGCTCACACAATCCGGTCATCGTCTATTACTGCAGCCCTCGCCATCCTCTTACCTCCCATGATGTAACTGCTTCCGTCTGTGTACCAGGTCAGGAGTCCCGGTCCCTCTAGGGGCTGATCTCGTAGGTCCTGGCGGGTCCCTGTCTCTTCAGCCAGGATCTCCTGGCAGGTGTGAAGCACTTCTTTCCCCGAGTCAGGGAGCAGAGTAGCCGGGTTTAGGATGGCAGGCGGGGCGAATTCCACAGGAGTCAGGGGCTCCTGATCGTGATTCAGGAGCAAGGTTTGGTCGTGAGTCATTCTGGCGTTCAACATCCATCTTTCAGGTGGTTGCCGAATTACACTCTCCAGCACATGGGGAGCAACCACAGTGAGTTTTTGTCCCAGCGTAAGTTTGTCAGAATCTTTAACTAGGAGGGCCACGGCCGCCACTACTCTCAAACAGGCAGGCCATCCACTACTTACTGGGTCCAGTTTCTTTGACAAGTAGGCAACAGGTCTCTTCCAAGGTCCCCATTGTTGGGTCAACACTCCTCGAGCTACCCCGCTCCGTTCATCCACGAAGAGGACAAACAGCTTAGTCACGTTCGGCAATGCCAGAGCGGGTGCCGATAGGAGGGCCTTCTTAATATTATCAAAGGCCTGCTGTTGTTCAGATCCCCAAACAAACGGGGCCGCCCCTTTCGTTAGGGGATACAGGGGGGCAGCTAAGGTAGCATACCCGGGTATCCAAAGTCTACAAAATCCTGCCGTCCCCAGAAACTCGCGAACCTGGCGTGGAGTAGTGGGAACCGGGATCTGTGTCACAGTCTGCTTTCGGGCTTCAGTGAGCCATCTTTTCCCTTCTCTCAGGGAATATCCCAAGTAAGTCACTTGTTGTTGGCAGATCTGTGCCTTTTTGGCAGATGCCCTATACCCCAATTTAGCAAGTTCAGTCAGAAGGGCTCCAGTGGCCTCTTGGCAGGCTTCCCAGGTAGGGGCTGCTATTAATAGGTCATCAACATACTGCAACAAGGTTACCTGTGGGTTGGAGGCTCGGTAAAAAGCCAAGTCCCGGTGTAGAGCCTCGTCAAAGAGGGTGGGCGAATTCTTGAATCCTTGTGGCAAACGAGTCCAGGTCAATTGCCCAGTAGTTCCTGTGGAGGGATCTTTCCATTCAAAAGCAAACAGCGGTTGGCTACTCTGGTGCAGGTGCAGACAAAAGAAAGCGTCTTTTAAATCTAGGACTGTATACCAGGTGTTTTCTGGGGCCAGGGAGCTTAGCAGATTATAAGGGTTCGGCACAGTGGGATGAATGTCCTGTACCCTCTTATTAACTTCTCTCAAGTCTTGCACTGGTAGATAATCTCCTGTTCCCGCTTTCTTTACGGGCAGCAAGGGAGTGTTCCATGGGGATTTACATTTTACTAATATCCCCTGTTCTATAAGCCTCTGGATATGGGGTCTAATTCCATCCCTGGCTTCTTTACTCATTGGATATTGTCTCACAGTTACTGGTAAAGCTGAAGCTTTCAGTTCTATGACCACAGGGTGCTGGTTCGCAGCAAGCCCCATACCCGCCGTCTCCGCCCAGGCTCCTGGAAACTGGTCAAGCCACTCCTGACCAACTCGGGAGGGTTCTGGTTCCTTAAAAAGGCGGTATTCATCCTCTAATCTTATGGTCAGGATACTTAGGCTCAAAGGTTTCTTTTCTCGATTAGTCACTTGAGTTTCTTCAGCTTGAAAGGATATTTGGGCCCCTACTTTGGTCAATATGTCTCTTCCTAACAGGGGTGTGGGGCATTCTGGTATGACAAGGAATGAGTGGTTTACTTGTCCCACTCCTAAGTCTACTGTTCTTTGGGTAGTCCATGCGTATTGTTTCTGGCCTGTAGCTCTGATCACCCAAGACTTTTTGCCAGAGAGGGGGCCCTTAGCTTGGGTCAGTACAGAATGTTGAGCACCGGTGTCTACCAGAAACTCAACAGGTTGCCCCTCCACCTTCAGGGTTACCCTGGACTCGGGGAGGGGCTCCGAGCCCCGTCTTCCCTAATCTTCATCCACTAGCAGAGACAACACCTTCTTCGGAGGTCCCCTCGGTGGCTTCTTAGGGCATTCCTTCACCCAATGCCCCTTTTCCTTGCAGTATGCACATTGGTCCTTCTCTAAAGAGGTCCGGTTGCCCAGGTACCCTGTCTTGCTAGCTCTGCCACTAGAGGGTGGGCATCCCCTACCTTCTACTACTGTAGCCAAGATACTTGTTAAATTTTTCTCATGCTTCCTGTCCCTCTTTTCCTCTTTACCTTCTCTTTCCTTCTCCTTCCTTAACTCCTTCTCTTCCTCAGTCTCCCTCTTGTGATAAACTTTTTCAGCCTCTTTTACTAAATCTTTCAGTGATGAATCTTGTAGGCCCTCTAATCTCTGAAGCTTCTTCCTAATGCCGGGCACTGATTGTCCGATAAAAGCAAGGGCCACTGAAGCGCTGTGCTCTTCAGAAGTAGGATCAAAGGGAGTATACCGCCTGAAGGCTTCCATCAGGCATTCTAGGAACACTGCGGGTGCCTCAGTGGCTCCCTGACTGACCTCTCTTACCTTGGCCAAATTAGTGGGGTGCCTCGCAGCCCCGCGGAGACCCACCACCAGAGCCTGGCGATAGACAGTTAGTTACTCCCTACCTTCTGGAGAATTAAAGTCCCAGTTGGGTCTGGTCAGCGGGAACCCCCTCTCTATATCATGAGGGAGTTGTGATGGTCGTCCATCGGCTCCAGGCACATTCTTTTGTGCCTCCAGAAGGATCCTTTCTCTCTCCTCCGTGGTGAAGAGCACCTGCAAAAGCTGTTGACAGTCATCCCAAGTGGGCTGGTGAGAAAACATCAGGGACTCTACCAGACCAGTTAGTCTCTGCGGTTCTTCTGAAAAAGGAGGGTGGTTAGCTTTCCAGTTATATAAATTGGCGGAGGAAAACGGCCAATACTGCAGAGGTTGGAAAGGTGAGTCCCTTTCTTCTCCGAGGATGGGAGCCCCATAAGACCGGAGAGGAAAAATACCCGGGGGGTCCAGGGTAGCCCCTTGGTGGCACCGAGTTCTCTGGGCAGGTCCCAGAGCCGGCCCCACTGCCTCAGCACCAGGGACTGGAGGTGTCGGGGGTGCTGGGGCTGGGGGGGCCATAGGGGCAGGAGGGTAAGGAGGGGGATCATCAACCATGAGTAAATCTTGAGTGTCTGGGTGAACTTTGGTGGTCTCTTTCTTCTTGCTCTGAGATTGGGTCTGGGCAAGTAAGACCCGAGGGCCCATTTTCTTTTGCACCCAGGGCTTTACCCAGGGTGGTGGATTCTCCACCAACTCCTGCCAGACTGCAATATAGGGTTGCTGACCCGGGTGTCCCTGAGGCGAGTCCTGAAAAACAACAGCTTTTACTGCTAGCAGAATGGAGAGATCAAAGGTCCCCTCCGGGGGCCACCCAACATCAAAGGTGGGCCACTCTGAGGTGCAGAAAGTCTGCCATAGCCCTTTCTTAACTTCTACTGACAAATAATGTGCCCTTGTATTTACTTCTGTCCAATGATCTAACGTCAGACTGAGGGGGGTCGTCACTGTCTGTCCCATTGTCAGTATAACAATTATTAGGCATGTGAAAGACACAAAAAACAGAGACACACACAGATTAGACACACGGCGGCTGCTCCTTGTTTTCCTCAGATTTTCAATCAGAAACCGAAAGGAATCGGAGGGTTGATACTCTTGGCGTCCAAAAATCAACCCTTTCTCATCAGATTCACCTTGCCGAAAAAACAGATTAGAGGCCACCAGGCGTCCCTGGCCGTCTGGTCTCCCTGAGGCGTCCCCCAGGGTTGCAGCCTGTGGTGCTCCGAGTACGTCTACTGACCATGGTCTTGAACCCTTTACGGGCTCGAGACAGCTGCCGGATGGAGGGTACCCCCTTCAGAATTCCGACCGGTCGCACTGAAAGACAGAAGACGAAACACGGACAACCCAAGACGCCACCGACCTTACCTCTTCCTCAAAGGGCGACTTTGGGAGTGAAGCAGGGTGAACGCTTGATCCCGGACGAGCCCCCAAGAAATGTTGGATCTCCCCAAAGGAGGACGCCACCCCAATTCACTCACGGAAGACGTCTCTTGATGCAACAAACAAGAGGACTTTATTCAGGAGCCAGCTAGCTGGGGTCCAAGTGTCAGCCCGACGCAGCAGGTTTCAACAAGGACCCTGAGCACTCAAAGCCAAGGGTTTATATAGCATTTTCAAAACACTTAACTCATAGTAATTTTCCACAGCTGCACATTATTCTTGCAAGACATACATCCTGGGGTTAGG